GAAGAAGAAGAAGAAGGAGAAGAAAGAGAAGGAGAAGAAGAAGAAGAAGAAGAAGGAGGAGAAGAAGAGAACGCCGGAGAAGGAACTGCAGCGCCAGCAACAAGGCGCAATAATTAATCCTTTTATGCGAGACTTATGTTAATGCGGGAGAGGTTCGAGGAGGCGTTAGTGCCGGAGGGGCGGGGGGATTGGGGGGAGTGGGGGGGGGTTGTGACAATTTGGGGGGAAGGGGCGCACTCGCGCGACATCTAGGGGGGCGGTAGGGGGTAGGTAGTGTTTTGGACAGGGGGGTGGAAGGGGGAGTGGGGAGAGGTAGGGGGGGATTGGTAACAAAGGGGGTAGGGTGGGGGGATTGATGGGACAGGGTGAAAGCGGTGGGGGAATGGGGTAGTGGGGGGGGGGGATCTGTACAGGGGGGAAGGGGGGAACGTGGGGGTATTGTACATGATGACAGCTAAATGGGGGGCGAGTTTAGGGGATGGGGGGATGGGGAGTGGGGGGATTGTACAACGGGGGGGGGCAGTGTGGGGGTGGGTGGGGCGAGACGTTACTGCGAGGCGGGTGATTGTACAGATCCTAGGGCGAAGGGTGGGGATCAGGACAGCGGCGGGGAAGGGGACAGGGGGGCGAAGGGGTAGGTTAGGGGAATAGGACAGGGGTGGGAAGGATTGGGGGGGGACTTTGGGGAGACGAAGGGGTAGGTAGGGTAAGTGGGACAGGGGGTATGGGGTAGGGGATGGGAACGTCGCTGTGGTTTATGTGGTTCTCAGCTCGTGGAATGCTGGTTCGTGTTCAGTATCGACTTGTTAGAATGTTTAATGATGCCTGTCGTGGCGTAGATGCCATCGCAGTATGGGGAAGGGGGTGGGATGGGGGTGGAAGTGAGTGGAGGGGGAGACTTGGTGGAAGGGGTATGGTTAGGTATTATTACGAGGGACAGGGTGGCGGAGGGGTTGGGTGGATGTGACGTAGGGGGAGGGAAGGGGGTGGGGATGGATGGGGATGGGGGTGGAAGGAAGTGGGGGGGTGTAGGAGGAGGTGGTGTGGACAGGGGGGAAAGGTGGGGATAGGATAGGGAGGAAGGGGTGAGTGAGAAGGGACAAAGGGGTAAGGAGTAGGTAGAGGAAGTTGCGAAAGGGCAAAAGGAACAGGGGAGACAAGGGAAAGGACAGAAAATAAGGGGTAGGTCAAGAAGAGAGAACGGGGCTAAGGACAGAGTGGGGAAGGGAGCAGAGGGTAAGGAGTAGGGGAGAGGGGGGGGGGGAAAGCAAAGATGAGGGTACGGGGAGAGAGAGGGGACTGGGGGTTAAGGGTAAAAAGGGTTAAAAAAGAGACGTAGAGGCCTGT